AATATTGAATAGAAAATTTATAAATTGTATCGTATAATTTTTGGAAAAATTTTTTTTATTTGTGAAGTAAACTATTTAAAATATGAATTATAATATTAGTTTAGATTTTAGATATTTTTTTAGAATCCTATAATACAACTACTAATTAACTAAACACATTTATAATATTGGTTATTTCTTCTCATTATCATTGTCATAAAATGAATAACAACAGAAATAGAAATAGAATCATAATTTAATATTTATTTATAAATATTGATGAAACAAATAAGAAAAATTGTTGAAACAAGTATTAATTTTTACTTTAATCAAAATATTAGAGATTAAAGTAAAACAAAAATAAATTAGAAAAGATAGAAAAAAATAAAATTCGATGAAAGAAAAAAAAGAAAAAAAAAAGAGAATAAAGAAAAACGTCTGTTGATTCGGACATGTAGGAATAAGGGTTAGATATCTTAGAGTTAGTTTCAAGTTTCGATCAAATTAGACGCAATGCGTCGAGATGGCTTGCCAGGAGGGCCGCAATATTACTCTATTACATTGAAAAGCAAGCGCGAAATCGTTCCACCACTCTTACTGGCAATCTCTTCGATTTAAAATGGTTCACATCATTCACATCGTTCTTTAAGAAACATTATTTTTACGATTATAGCCATTAATCGATTTCCTTAAAATGACGCATACATATTTGCATTTTATCATAGAATATCGTGATTTGTATTATGCCAAAAAATCAAAAATGTCTCTAAACATGATCAATTGTTATCATATTCAAATGCTTTAAATCGTCATATTCATTTATAGAAAAATGTTTTAATAATAATGAAAAAATATTGAATTCGTCAACTCGAAAATAAATGTAAGGTGAATTGCCTCTAGAAACCTATCATTTTGATTCATATTTATCTTATCGGATAATTTGTATTTTCGCAAGAAACGAGGAAATTCTATATTCGTCCTGGCAAAGAGAGACTATCGGTTTCGTATTTGAATGAAAGCACAAGTATCGTTGTTACCAACTTCTATTCGTGTCAAACAATATAAAGTAGATTATGTACAAACCAACGGACCTCTCGGTCTCTGTCTTTCTTTCTATCTATGCATTTACTCTTCCATTATATCTCATCATTGCCTATTCTTTTCTCTTCTCTCGCTGTCCTTTACAATTGCGTAAGCATAATAAGTATTTACTTCCATACATGCATCAATATATGCCAATTGTTTCACTATATAGGATTGACCGAAAATACACGAATTGAATTCGCTATAAATTATATAATATATTGGCTATAAATTATAGCAATATGCAACGAAATTTTTTTTTCACATCACATATTACGAATAATCCAAATGACATTTCGATCACGTAAGATGGAATGCTACAAAAGAAATTGGACGATAGCGAAAAACGGAAATGCGAGATTACGTTTATCGACGTATCTCCGTGAGTTATCGTTCTTTCTCGTTTTTTCAAACGAGTTTAAATTCCGAATTATCGTCCCGATAAGCAATTTGTTCGATAATCAAAAAAAAAAAAAAAAAAAAAAAAAAAAACAAAAGACAGGAATCGTTTAACTAGCAACCAACCATTGTACAACAATGGTCCCACGTTGCAAAACATTCTCAACAGACGCGTTACGTTTTACGTAATAATACCGTTAAAAGTTTTGTCTCGTTTCAGGTAAATTGGATCGGTCGCGGGTGAACTGAATAAAATCGACCAAACAACTCGAATAGACATTTGCCCTCATTGTATCGAACCTCGATCTAGGTATATATCCCCTAAAGTATACCTTCGCGAATTTACGTCTTATTCGAATAAGGGATGCTTTTTATGCTTTTTATGCTTTTTATTATCATAGGAGAATACGCTAACAGAAGGAGACTGTAAGAAAGCGAAGTCAACTGTGCTCGCGACGCGATATCGAATAAAACATCGAATGTTTGCTAGATACCAATTTTTGTACAATCCCATTATCGCATATTCGTCTCGAAAAAGGAAAATGAAAACTGTTTCAATGAAAGATCATCGATACAAGCTTTCGAATTTTCGCGAGACGTCTCGTTCTCGTATCGTGCACGATCTTTTGCTCGATACGATCGTTCGAACTCTTTGCCTCCTGTTTTATTTGCCAGTTTTCCGGAATAGCGCCACGAATAGCGTCACGTTTGTCGTAACCTCGATATGTTGTCGGGGCAGAGTAACAGAGTGTCGTTGAGCACATGGCGCCGTCCGATTTTCAAACGATTTATTTCACTCGTTAACTCGAGTTGTATATCGTATATTGAATTGATCCTTCAATCGAAAAAAAGATTAAGGAAGAACGAAAGAAGGGGAAGAGATGTGCTAAAATGCACGATATACGTGGAGAAATGTACAATGACAGTGATGGAAAAGCGAGAGTTTCCTTTCTTTTTTCGACGAAAGAAAAGGATAAACAGGGAAAAAAGGAAATGCAAGGATAGAGAAAAAAAATTGGAACAAAGGAAGAGAAGAAGGAGCGCGAGAGGAGACCCCCGCGGTGGTGGTGAATCAAAGTGGTAATGAGTCGAAGGGGGAGAGAGGGGGGAGTGGGGGGATCATAGTGATGCGAGGAGAGGCGGGAGACAAAGACAAAGGGGGGTGTATCGGCAGGGTGAAGTTGCGCGGAATGGAAAGCGGACAGAACAGACAGAAGGATGCGCGCAGGCGTGAAACGGACGCGGTGAACGCTCGGTATCCGCGTGGCGCGAGTTAGAAGTTGGCTTCGCGCTTTTAGTCTCGGCCCGTGTCTCTTCTCGTTCATCTTCGTTCACCCGTCCCGTAGAACGGCCAACGAGAAGGCGAGTGTTCCCGCTCCTGAGGCCTGCGAATTTTCATCGAAGCCTCGAACGAAGGGAAGAGGAAAAAGGAAAGGGAAAAAGTGTGGAGTCCGCGACCGGCCGCGGTTTGAACGATGAAGCGGATGGACGTTCGGATCGGCGATGATCGTCCTCGTGTTTTCGTCCTCGCCATGAAACGCCGTCCCCTTTCGTAGCATCATCCATCCCCCCCCATTGCATCGAGGGAGACGCGCGTTCGATGGAACGCGCCGGAACGGGTGAAAAATGTCCGAGAAGAGTTCGAACGAAATTCTCGAGGGGAAGAAGAGGAGCACCGCCCAGCGAAGATGGCGCATCCTTGCCAAGGCGTTGATAGGCACCGTCTCGGAACCGATCTCCGTCGATCCTGAGAACGAGATATCGGTGCGCCGTTTCACCAGCTTCGATCTGTTGAGAGTGAATCGGTTGGAGGGCAATCCAACCGCGGATCCGGATTCGTTCGCGGCTTGGTACGAATATTCGACCGTTTTGGACAACAAGTTGTTCACCATAGAGATACGCCGGCGAACAAAGAGAAATTTCACGGCGAACGAGTTGATCGGGTTCAACAATACGGGAAACATCTGCGTCTGGCCGTCGGAGGAATGTTTGGCTTATTACTTGTTGAAAAATCGGCATCTCTGTCGAAACAGAAGAGTCCTCGAGCTCGGTGGCGGTATGAGCTGTCTGGCGGGGATGCTCGCCGCCAAGTACTGCGACCCGAAGGAAATCGCGCTCACGGATGGGAACGTGACCAGTGTGAACAACGTGCGACGAATCATATCTAGGAACGGCATGTCCGATTTCGTCGAGTGTGGCGTGGTACAGTGGGCCAAAGCGGCCAGGGCGATCAGGGCAGCAAGATCGGTCAGGCCGTTCCTACACCCCCATCCCAACGCTCTTCGAGTCAAGGTGAATTATACTTCTCGTGTTACGCGTTTCGCGCGCTCCTCTGTCGCGAGCAAACCGAGATGATACGTGCGTGCGTGCGTGCGTGCGCCGTTCGTTCGACCGTTCGAGCTTTTAAACCTTCTCACTCGGATCACGCGCCTGCGCACTTTCCTCCATCCAGTGCGAAGGAAGGATAAATTCCAGTTGATTTGCCGCCACGATTGTCCGCCACGCTAGTTTTCTATTTTCTATCGCATATCCGTTTATCGAAGAACCGTGAATCAATCGATATGCACGCGATTCTCTCGATAATCTTCCGCGTATTTATTCGATGCACGACGATCACGACGATCTCGTTTGCTATTCCAATCAATCTTTTTCTTTTTTTTTTTTTTTTTCCTGTTTTCGCGTGATCGTGATCGTTTGTATAATCGTCGTGGTATCTTTGAATGATTCGCGCGCGGCCAAGATAATTGCGGCAAAGTGCGAAAAGAGAATTTGCATTTCCTCGTTTCATCGAAAGTTCTTCGAAGCGTTCGAGGAAAAAAAGAAAAAAAAAAAAGAGAGAGAGAAAACTTTTCGTGAATTTCTGAATTGAATTTTTACCGGTAGAACTGGAGTGGCGGCGCCAAGGATGTTGCAAAATTAACGGAAAAACTGTACGACGTGATCCTGTGCGCGGATTGTCTTTTCTTCGACGAGGCTCGTTCCGATTTGGTGGAGACGATCTACGGCTGGCTGGCAAACGATGGCCTCGCTCTGGTGATGGCGCCTAGACGGGGATCGACTTTTGAACAATTTGCGGAAGCGGCGATAAAGAGGGGTTTCGTCGCGCGACAAATAGATCGTTACGACGCTACGATTTGGTCGAGGCATCTGGAATTGTTGGAGAACAGCCAGGAATATTGTCCAGACCTCCATTATCCGATTCTTCTGGAGCTTACCAAGCAGAAGAAAACGTCGCCAGGATGATGAAACTTCGATCGTCCACCGCGTCGAAAAACGATCGCGTTTACGATCCTTTAACGAGAGTTCCTCCCTGCCCCCCGTTCTACCGACCATTTCGGCCCATTCCCTTCTTCCATTCCGTTACCGTTACCCGACTTAGCTTACTTCTCCCCTCCCCTCTCCCGCTTTTTTTCCAGATGTATAATACCTGCCGTTCTCTGTCCATCCGTTCCAATATATCTATCTAAGCGGCAACATCGCATAATCGAGATTATTAATTACACGTCGAATTCTTTCGATGTACACAGAATTCTATTAAGTTAGTTAGATAGCCATCGTTAAATATTGCTTATTCGTTGCGCGATATACCGCGTTTTTTTCCCTCCCCCTCTCCTTCCCCCCAACGAGTAAACGATAGTATTTCAAGTACCTGATGTTTAGACCGATAGAATTGAAAAATGGTTTGTACACGGCGTATCTGTACGATCTACGCTGTTGCCCTGCTGGCAAGAAAAATATTTAGAAATGACGCGACGAGGACGACGTGTTATACGTATACGGCGGTATATAACCGTTTTTTCGTTTCGTCCCGTTTCGTTTCTCTCTTCTCCGTGAAATTTTTTTAAGAAAATTATCCCCTTCCCTTTTTCGCGAGGAAACGTGCATTCGTCGAGTACATTCGTGTCGAACAAAAGCGGCCGATCGATCTTCGAAGAATGATCTCGTTTCACTCGTTTTACTCGATCTTCATAGATCGATTTTGACCGAACGCTACGCTTCACATTTTTCGATCTCTATCGATATATATATATANTAAATACTTCTCGAATACTTTTCGAGAAGTATATATACTATGTAAACTTCGA